CAGGCTCCATTAAAATCTTCTGAATGCTTCTGAAAGTATTTTTCATAACAAAGTGTGCTACCTAAACTCACCTTCCTTTTTAGTAAAGTTGTTAATTCCTATTCAGAGTAGGAGGAAAGTAAGGAAATGTTCTACATAAGAAAAGGCCACTTAAGGAAGGCTTTGGAGGGAAGTGAATAGTATTTGAGAACACACCAGAAATTGGTAAGTACTACAGATTTAAGGAAAAGATGAATGGGGGAACCAGATGTGTAGGAAACTGTATGTAGGGAATCTGACATGGTAGGAAAATAAGTAATCATATTGTATATCAAAACAAAGCTTCAAATGGTAAGAGATCAAAAATGATAATAAAAACATGAGATTCTGCAATAGATGTTAACAAATTGTCTTTTGAGACAAAACAAATTGTGAACTTGGTGAGTCAACAGAAGAGCCATTTTCTAAATTATTCAACAACCATTATTTCTGTCTCTGATTACAGTTTACTTGAAACTATACTATGGATGTAAATACTGTTATCTATAGCTTAACATAATCTTTCAAACACTGACTTCTTGTATAACAAAAATATTAAAAGTCAATCAATCCAAAAAGTCTTTAAGAGCTTTAAAAAGACTTCATCAAGAATTTTAAAATATGAAAAATATTGTTAAGTGAAAAAAATTATTTTTCAAAAACTATCAGTACTAACAATTTGAATGTTCAGTTCTTTTTTAAAAGTCAAGTTGCCCATTAAAGACTCCAATAGACACCATCTGTTATGTCAGGAGCAAGTTTTTCACCCATTTTGAATCATTCATCTATGACCACAGACCAGAAATTAAAAAGTACTGTTATGTGAAAACTGATATTCAGTTTCATTTTCTATAGTTAAAGACAAAAAAAGACACAATCTGCTGAGTCAAAGCTATTGTATGTCATTTGCATTTATCATTAAAATATCAACTTGTACTACTTTTTCTCAAAGCCAAATTACTCAATGAAATACTGAATGTTTCCAAAGCAGTGCTTTAATTAGTTTTTTATGCAAATATCAGTCTGCATATCTATTTCTATTCAGAATTCCTTTTAACCAATTCTAGCAAATCTCTATAAAATATTTTTGCATTTGTAACTTAAACAGAAAACTGGATTTAAAAATTACAAGTAATATGCACTAATTTCTACAGTTAATACTATTATCACATTTTATGTTTGTTAAGGTTCTCCCCCATATTGTCTATATTCATTTTTCCAGATTCTAATTACAACTCCAACTTTTTAAAAAAGCAATAGATAAATTATTGTTTATTTATTGTATTATATTTCTACTGCCAGCAAGAATGAGTAAAAAAAACAATGTTCTCATGCTCACACACTAATCCTTTGGGAAAATTAATGATGATAAAGATCATCATTATCTGATCTCTTACCTATCATTAGTCTCTGAACTGAAATTCCAGTGGCCAGATGTTTTTCGAAATTCAGAATTTTTCATATTTTAAGGAAGATAATAGAGTGCACAAAACCCTCAGTGAGAAACTTTGTCATTAAAAACGATAATATAGCCATAGGGAGATGTGTAAATGTTCCCACTACCTGGCTTAGAGTAAACTATATATAATCTCATGTCAGTTCAGATCAATTGCCACTAAATATGTTTGGGCCAAACTTATAAAATAATTTTGTTTCAATTTTCAGAGCTTTATGGATTCAGAAATTCTGGATAAGAAATGGTATCCAAACTATATATTAATATTTCAAATCTTAATATCTAAAAGGATTACTCAAAGAGGCCAAATTATGTAATTAAGCAAATGCATAACTGAGGTAAGAAATCTATAAATATATACTTAAGCATCAAGTTCTATACCTTATATGTTCCCAATGACTGCATCCAAAGAAATGAAAAATACTTGAAGGTGATAATGAACATTTCCCATCACATTAAGATTAAGATGAATATATCTTCACAACAGAAATAACAAAAAACTGTCTAGTGACCCTTTATTCAGAGTACAACAAGCACATCTTTCTTCTTTAGCATATACATACACTTAAGAACTCTACCAGGCTTCCCAGATTCAGACGAGGCAGACCTGTACAAGCAAATGCACACTGTTATGAATCACCTATTTTACATTTTCATTTGACTCAAGTCCAACAGACCAACCTATTCATTCTTTTGGACAGAAGAGCAGAAGAGAGCTCAATTCAAAACAGAAAGTCAAAGTGGAGAGACTTTTGTTTTCATTTCACTCTCTAAAGGCTAACCAAAGGATAAAAGATTGTGGAAATGGAAAAAAAAAAAAGTATATATGATCTCAATTTCACAGAGTGTTAGGTTGGAACAAAAGTCAGAAATCACCCAGTGCACACCCTTCATTTTACAGATGAACAAATATAAATTTAAAGAGATTCATTCAATCCCAAGTGCAGCCAGTATTAGAGCCAGGTTTCCTGACATTTTCCTCTTAAGTCACTCGGCCTCTTGTGATTTTTCACACTGAGCTTTTCTGTAACAAGAAACTTCTGATTACTTTTTGACAAGATCTAGTATTTCTTGCTGAAAATATTTTTGAACATATAGTCAACAGAGTAAAGTTTTGCCCCATGTGATCCAACCTCTACTTAGTAACCTACCCTTACTGGTTACTTCCATGTCTTTTAATTAATATGCCTAAATTCATGTAGTAATTTTTTCACCCATTAAACTTTACTTTTGATCATTATTAACAAAAGAACTTACTCATGTTCTAAAAGTATAAAATTATTTTCAAAGGAAATCACTTAAAATATAACAAAAATATGTCAATAATATTTCAACAAAAGTACTGGAAAATAATCAGCACATAAACTAAGTTGTGTCACATCAACTTTTTCAAGAACTAAAAATCAGTTTGACATTTATAAAATTGCACAGACTAATGAAGAAAAAATTCATAAAACTTAGACAAAACAAAATACAGTTAAAATCTTCCTATAATCTGTACTGAGGACTCTAAATTTCACTGTTTTTTTTAAAAAACCTATTTCAATTTTAGAAGAAGAAATATACCAGGTGTTCACCCTAATTAGTAGTACACAGCAAAATTACTTAAAACTTTAGGAAATATATTTCTGTATGTGCTTTCTTTATGAAAGTATTTAAAATGTTTACTTGACTATACTTTCATTCTCAAATGCACTTAGATCCTTTTTCCTCTCATTCTGCAAACTAAAATTCTGCACAGGTAATGGACATTTAGTATAAGATAGGAAGTGCTTCAAGACAAGCTTCATAGTCCTGATGTATACCTTTGTCCCTTTTAAAACCAAGGAGTATATTTATGTTTAAAGTCTGCAAGGTGACAAGAAGGATACTAAAGTTGTCATCAGTGGCAGGAAGGAGTCCGAATTTATCAGTAGGAAAGGGAAGGAAAAGCATTTGAGACAGTTAATCTGGAAGAGATGGATAGAAGATGCCTGCGGGAGATATTCATACCTAACTGAAAAGAAATCATTCAAAAAGAGTAAGCTTTCCCAACTGCAAGGAAAAATAAAATTTACTCCCGTATCACTCATAGAATTATTGTTATGAAATGGACCATCTAGCTGTTACTCTCATTTTACAAGCAAGAAAATTAAGGCCCAGATAGGTCTATTAATTTGCCCTAGTTACACAGCACTTAGTCCACAACTTAAAGTCTCCTTTGGTCAAGATATCTTGCATTACATTTTATCATTTCCACAACTGTTTAACTAAATATGTGTAATATATTTAGTAATTCATGTTCTAAGTCAGAAAATCAATTTATAGCAATTATGAAATGTATTAACAGCCAGATGTGAAGGAAAAAGTTGTTTTTCCCCCTGTATATTGCTTCCTTAGCAAAACAACTTTTGTGAAAGGAGACATGTGTAACGTTATTTAACATTAACTTTTACAATAGTTACCCAAACAGGATTCCTATTAACAAGGAGATAACCCTGTTGAAACTATTTTTATTTAGTTAACAGTTGTCAAAGCAGTATGAAAAAAAATTTGTCTAATTTTATTTTGTTAAGTAAATGAAATTTTCAATTTAAGAGTGGAGCAATTTTCAACAACTATACATTAATATGTGTTCTATAAGACTGGATCATAAAGTTTTCACATATTTAAATAAATTTATGAGAAAAAGTGTTTAACTCTCAGCCATTTCCAATAAAAATGAGCTAATAAATTGCCTTTTTCTACATCAAGTGAATATCTTCGATTTGTCATCAGATTATTAAATATTTTTCAAAGCTAACACATATGTCTCTCCAATGTAAAATATGAAAACTTCTAAAATATTTAATATAACATTTCATTTTAAGAGTGATGTCAAAATCATATAAGTTATGCAACATTTTAAACTTTCATGGAGAAGCCATCAACTCAGAAATATTTAACTTCCATGATATCAAAATATTTTTAATATTAAAATGTTAGTTTTGCTTTCTCTTTCAGAAGTAATTTTATATCAGGTAGTCTCAGGAAAAGAAAGGCAACTAAGTCCAGGAGAGGAGTACCTTACTCATTTGGGAGCCAAAATGAAAAAAAAAAGTGTATTTGTTTGGGAACTGAGGAAACTGTGGGACCTTAATTTTGAACGTGTGATTCCTATGGAAACAAGAGCCCAACATAATGATAGATTGGTAGATAAGCTGCAAAGGTGAGGTTTATGTAAACAACAATTAAATTGCACTTAGACTATCACAGAGAAAAAAGAATATAAGAACAATTTTAAAAGACCATATGAAAATATCAAAATCCTATTAAAAACTTTCTCAAAACTCAAAATGTTAAGATCAACAGAATCATTTTTATGAAGCGAGTCACCAGATAAATTCAAGTCAGCCTAACTTCAATAGCGTCAATTCATTACCTATCCCCACTGAAGCTAAAATTACAAATAGATCCAGGTATAGATCCCTGCTACTGAGGAGGCTGAGGCAGGAGGATTACATGAGCCGAGGAGTTCAAGGTTGCAGTGAGCTATGATTGTGCCACTGCACCCCAGAATGGGTGACTGAACCAGACCCTGTCTCAATCAATCAGTCAATCAATCAATCAAAATTACAAATATCAATGAAGCTTCTTCACTGGATGTTGCCATTTCATAGAGGTAACAGAATAATTGCTTAGAAATGTTCATCAGAATTGAAAGGAAATGCTTAAGCTGTAATTTACTTTTACCTAGAAAAATGACACAGAACTAATCTATGCTAGTGATGTTCATGTCTGCCCAGCTCCAATGCCAAGACCTTCTTTCTCAAATATGCATCATCCTAACACTTCCAGCCATCACAAACATGACTCTAGGGAAGCCAAAGTGATTATCCCATTACGACTACAATACTACACAACAAAAGAGCACTTTTAAAAGCACACACGAGAGGTTTTATAAATATGACAAATATGAAGCCTTTGAGAGAAATGAAGTTCATATTCAGAGTGAAAAGAAGTAACAAGAATCTGAATTCAATAATTAATTCTCGGCCCTTGTCACTGGATCTGATGGGAGGCGCAGGTCTGGATCAGAAGATGTCAGGCTCTGAGGAGCTTCCTCAAGGCATGCACCAGATACAGCCACACAGAAAGCGAACCATGTTTAGTGAGAAGCAACTGGAAGCTCTGAGCATCCTGTTCAATGAGAACCCATACCCAAACCCCAGCCTTCAGAGAGAGATGGCCTCAAAAACTGACATATACCCGACAGTACTGCAGGTTTGTTTCAAGAACCATAGAGCAAAACTGAAGAAAGCAAAATGCAAGAACGTGCAGCAAAAACAACCCCCTCGACAGACACCGATACCTGAAGATGGAATCAAAACCAATCCCAGCCAGAGAAATGCGGACGTGCAACCCAGATCCCCGAATCCCACCTGTCCTGTAGGCCTCGTCTATGCAGGTCACCAGGCACCCTCATACCATTTGAGCTTATACCCCAAGGTCAAGGGCCCTGTGGATGTCTTCCTTGGCCACAGAATAGTCCACTTTGGCTGCTGCCAAGACCCTAACATTTACTGCCTCTATCCCATTGTGGAATCCCAGGTTGGCTCTCCACGCGTCAGTCCTCATGTTTTTGGCTGTTCACTTCTACAAAGCAGGGAGAGACAGATGCCAGACGTAAAAGGCCACATGTAATGATTCCCATGCAAGAGAACACAAGGGGTAGACAGGCTTGCAGTAAAGGACATGGGTTTCAGAAACACACAGAAGGCTAAATGCTGTATAATTCCATTTATATGAATTCCTAGAGCAGGGAAAAGATCAGTGGTGTGGCTGCCCACGTGGAAAGAATTAAACAGAGGCACAAAACAAATTTCTTGGGGTGATAGAAATGTTTCATGTCTTAATTAGGGTGGGAGGTACTTGGGGGAGTAAATTCATCATAACACTGAGAATTGTACGTCTAAAATCTGAGCATTTCATTTTACGTAAATTAAACCTCAATAAAAACTATATAATGAGGGGGCAGGGGAGCATGGGCAATATAAGTAACCTTAACATTTGTACCCCCATAATAAGCTGAAGTAAAATAAATAAAAAGAAAACTATATAATGAAAAAAAATAACAATTAATTCTCTCTCGTCATTAATAGCTGGAACTCATACATCATTCAACCATTATGAAGTACATGATTATGGAAGACCCATTCTGTGCCAACACAGCTGGTAAATAAAAATAGAGAGAGACCCTGAATTCAGGAAGTTTCTTATCTGGGAAGGGAAAACACAATTAAAATATCACCCAAATAAATGAAAATTATGGTTGTGATGAATGCTCTGAAGGAAGACTACCATATATCAGGGCATAAAATAAGGGCACATAACTTGCCAAAGGGTGCAGGAAAAGTTTCCTGGAGGAAGAGATGATAAGGCAAAAAATGAGTAGAAGGGAAAAAGAAGAGGATTGGGAGAGTTTTGGTTTTTTTTAAACAGGGTCTTGCTCTGTTGCCCAGGCTAGATAGAGTGTAGTGGCATCATCATAGCTCACTACAACCCTAAGCTATCCTCTTGCCTCAGCCTTCTGAGTAGTTGGGATTACAGATGTGCGCCACCACTCCTGGCTAATTTTTTTATTTTTCATAGAGACCGCTGGTCTGGAACACCTGTCCTCAAGCGATTCTCCTGCCTAGGCCTCCCAAAGAGCTGAGATTACAGTCATGAGCCATGGCACCTGGCTGGACTGGAAGAATTTAAATGCACTAACCTCATCCTTCAATTTTTTCATTTTATCCTTATATAAGTTCCAAATTAAATGTAGAACCTAAACCTCGTGTGGACAGAGATATATTTTGTTCTTCTATGTCCCTATAGTCCCTGGCACAGTGGAAGGTACAGACTATAGAACTGGCCTTCATGTATTCTGTTGAAATTAGCTGAAAACAAGTCTACAAGTAATGTACATTACCTGAAGTATTTTAATGTTTTAAAAATATAGTCCAAATCTACCTTGGCCAAAAGTCATATCAAAGCAGTTGACACAGTACCTAAATAAAGAATAAGAACATGAAATGAGGGACAAAGTTTGAGTGGATCAGTGTCCATCTCTTCCACAGGAAGCCAAGCCCGGGTGGGAGGCAGGAGCAGTACGTGGGGACTGGGCACACTCCAGCAGCAGAAGGGAGTGTTTGGCATGCCAGAACCAGGTCTGACTCACAACGTGTCTAAATGTGCCTGCAGTTCTTGGTACAAGGAAGTATCTCAAACGTTCATCTAAAAAAGAGGAGAGGAGGGAGTCATAAAAATACTACAGCCCTGCTGACAGACAGAAGGCTAAGGATAAAATGATGACTGAAAACTATTATCAGAGCTATGCCACTACCACTCACAAAACACTCATACAAAGGAATTGCCTGTGTTTTTCTCACAAGCTTCAAAAAGGCCTGGAGAAATCTCAGATGGTTTTGATTTATGACTATATATGTCATCCTTACCATATAGCATGGAATTAGCTTGCCCTTAAATGAGAGAGTGGTTTCTAACAACACACTATTTTGGTTATTTCCACAAAAAGAATTAATATAGGAAACAGAAGGATATTCTAAGATGCAAATTCTCTCCGCAGTATTTCCACCCACCCCTTCAAATAAAGGAGTCTTGCCTTTTGGGCAAGCAGATGGTCTACAACATGGGGACAGAGATGATCCACAGTCGACAAGCCCTAGGCAGTTCCTTTTGAACTTGCATGTAACCACCCTGCACAATTCCTGGTGGTTCCACCCTTCTCGGGGAATATTCAAGAGCTAGCAAGTCCACATGAGACCAGTGTGCAAAACAGCTCCCTTGTGGGTTTTCCCACACTGGAGCGAGGGAATTTTCTCAATCACCCCTGTGTTCACGCCAACTTTATTAAACGGAGCTTTGTTCCCAGGGGATTTTTTAATTGAGACATCATTGGCAATATACAATATGCTTTACAGGGGTTACTGTCACTAATCAGTGTGGTTAAACATTTAAAAAAAGCAGCTTCCACTCTCAGAATTTGAGATCACATCTGTGGTAGTCCTAACAATAAAAACATATTTATGAAATGGAGAAAAAACTAAGCTTGAAAAGCAGCTAAGGAAATAGATTACACATACGTCCTTTATTTGATAGATTTTTACTAAACACCTTATATGTACCCAGTACTTAATTATGTCATTTACGAAAGCACCATAAATTCAATACTATTGTATAGTCAAGTAAACAGAGACTTGCAAGTTTAGAAATAGTCCCAAAGTCCCTGTACTACTAAAGGAATTAAAGTGAAGCTTCAAACTCAAGTCTGTCTGACACACAGCTAAGTAAAAGAATTTTTTTAAAAAGTTGGGAGGAGGACAACTTGTAGCAATATGGCATGGCTGTGGAATAACCACACATAAAGCAATCAAATTGTCAGCTTTCAAAAATGAGGTATCACAATACCATAAGAGTAGGTGGCATAACCATAAACAGCTCAGGCTCTGAAGAATGCTTCTATAGTCATGATGTGAAGGGAATCTTACATATGCACAAAATAAGAAAAACTAACTTTGTATATACCAGCTAAGCAGTATTGCTTACAAACTGATAATGCCAACATTAGCAGTGCCATTTTGAAACACAAAAATCAACAGAGAAGAACATACTGATTATATTTTAGAAAGACTATCTTAAGATCTAGCAGATTTACTGTTATTGCAATTTAAGTAAAGACACTTACTTGTCTTAGCACAAGCACTGTGTACTGTATAAACAATAGAAAATGTCTACCATGGAAAAAAACAATTAGTAAATTAATAAATTACCTTTTAATTTATGTTACTTAATCCACTAATTTTGCTTTAATTAGCAGGCATATTAGCAGTAAATACATGAAATTATGTTTGAATTCCACAGACATGCCATGACTAAACATGCATTCATGTTAGGGAGCAATATTTGACCAATACTCCCCCAAATCAGCAATAAGGACTCAAATATAGGATTTTTATTTGTACCTGTGAACCTCTGTGTGCTAAGTATCTTACTAAAAGTATAATTAGATGAATAATTCACTAATTGTTTTTCTTACTTTAGACATTAGCCAGTACTGGACACTAGCTAATACTCACATATACAAACATTATGTAAATGATTTATGAAAAATAATTAAATTTATTTTACCAAGTTATAATAATTAGTAATTAAAATAAATTAAATTTATTTATTAAACTACTACATCAAAAAGTTAAGAGATATTTAAGTACAATTATGAAAATGAAAATATTAAATAAGTTATATTAAAGAGTATCATAATATAGCCAAAATTGTAATAGTATTGCTTTTACCAAAAAAGAAATATAATTACAATATTTTCCATTAATACAAGGATAAACTGTACAGAGATGGCAGAAGAGAAAATATACACCTTGTTTCATGTTGTCATAAGTAGCCGTTTCTGACAGCTAAATTGTGATTCTTACTCATATACACATCAATTCATATAGCTGCGTTTTTTTTCTGAACTAATCAACTTGTGTTTTCAGTATAGAATAACCAAACTGATTTTTTCCTTTGCTGTATCATTTAAAAGGAAATAAAGCAACACATTTGATTAGCTATAATTTATTTTAAATGCATCTACTGAAAAGTTAGCAATTTGCATGCTTAATGAGGTAGGTAAAAGTAAAGAATCAATTTTCACACATACAATATAATTTCACTGAGCTATATTTGTTTGTTCCAAAAGCAGAAGGGAAAAGCATGTAATGTGAATAGACAATCATATTTTCAAGAATTTCTACAGTTGGTCCTGAAGAATATTTATAGGCATGTCATTGTACAAATGGATGTTTGCCCAAAGAGAATAATTTCTTCTGGAGGATTTCAAATTCTCTAGTTAAAACTTAAAAGGAAAACTAAATTTCTCATAAATAAATTTTAGGAACTATTTCAGTGCCTCAAAGATTTAAAACTTTAAGTAAAAACTTTAAAAAAATGTCCCCCGTTCCTCCCAAAAGATTTTTTTAAGGTAATAAGGAATAGAAATAAACCTGTTTGGGGAAATCTGAAAATATTCCTCACAGATGTCTGATTTTTTTTTTTTTTTGCTTCCTTTATTTTCTCATTTAGTTTTCTCTTTTAGTTTTCTTTCTAAACCCCTTCAAGAACTTATTATTTCCTCTAATTGTAGGGTTACTGACATAATGGCAAAGGAACTAATTACCTACCCAGGGTAAATCAGAAATTCAATGAATTACATTATTATAAAGCTTAAAGGGCTTCCTAACTTTTCATTTTATGGGTATGAATGAATGAGAAAGTAAAGAGAGGTTAAGAGGTTTATCTGATCTCACACAGCTTGAAAGTGACAAATTAGCAAAAGAATCTAGTATTGATCCAGAAGGAAATGTACCTAAACGAACTTAAATATGAATCAGTCAAGAAAAAACAGCCACTTCTTGTAGAAAAGAAAGGCATCTTCTGATCTTTGATACCCAAACAATCGTCGTATTAATATTGTGATTAACATCATCATCATCACCAAAGTCTACAGAAGGCAACTGTTTGATCCACAAACAGAGAGAATAATCTATTCCTAGCAAAAATACAGAGTTAAACACTTGGGAGATATTTAATACCTTTCCATTATTTCTTAAGAAAGGAAAGGCAAGAATTCACTCCAGGACTCTTGATTGAGTCTCTTAAAACAGCAGACTTTCAAAGAACCAAATGATAAAAATTAAAAAAAAAAAAATTTAATTTATCATTCATTATCAGTAAGCTAAAAATTCTTTTCCTTTGAGAATCAACTCTTAGACGTCTAAGAGTTGATTCTCAAAGGAAAAGAGTTGATTCTCAAAGAAAAGGCTTACTGCTAATATTTGCATGTGAAGAAAAAGCTATTACCATATTTAATGGGCAAAAATATACTTTAACATTCATTAAATGAAAAGGTGGACAAGAATTAATAACTCTTATCTTTAATTAGTAAATTATTTCAAATGGCATCTGATAACTTCACTGCTGCCAAGCTGCATTACCGATCATTCCAGTAAGCTGGCTAT